TGACCCAGTGTTGTTCCAGGAAAACACTGCAGTATCCAACATGAGGAACCACTGCACGTACCGTGTGTGTGTTGGGATGGTGGGCTGAAATGTATTATTAAGCAAATGTTATCGTATTTGTCTATGAAATTCTGAAACCGCCTTTGCAAAATTATGAGTGAGACAATGAAAGAGATCTAAGTTAACCGACTTCATCTTGCTTCTAACCTCCAAGCTGTCTTTGTTCATTCCTGGGCGTAGGCTGAACTTACTTTGGGAGAAACTTCGTCTATAGTTTATAGTTTAAACAAAAACGGTAACAGCCCTTTACCAAAGCAGACCTTCTTCTTGACTGGGACTAGATTGCCTTTGTAGGACTAACATTAGCCACAAGATTAGAAATGTTGGTTTAGGAGTCATGCCGCTGGAGGCTACAAGATTCTGACCCTCTTTAAACTGCTCCTAAAATCAGTGCTTGGGGTATTTTGCAGACCCTGCAGTTGATGGATCTGGCACCACCCAGATCGATAAACTGATTCATCTGATCTTGTGGCCCCCTCCCAGGAATTTACTCAGCGCAAGAAGACAGCTTCGACTCCCTATGATTTCATCTCTGACCAATCAGCAATCCTGGCACACTGGCTTCTCCCAACCCATCAAGTTATCCTTAAAAACTCTGGTCCCTGAATGCTCAGGGAGACTGATTTGAGTAATAATAAAACTCTGGTCTCCCGCACAGCTGGCTCTGCATGAATTACTCTTTCTTTATTGCAATTCCCCTGCCTTGATGAATTGGCTCTGTCTAGGCAACCCTTGGGTGGTTACAATTCTGTTTAGTACTTTTGTCTCGGTCAGCCATGGTGGCTCAAGTCTATAATCCCAGTACTTTGGGAGGCCAAGGTTGGTGGATCGCCTGAGGTCAGGAGTTCGAGACCAGCCTGCCCACCATGGTGAAATCCCGTCTCTACTAAAAATACAAAGTTAGCTCGGTGTGGCAGCACACGCCTGTAATTCCACCTACTCGGGAGGCTGAGGTAGGAGAATTGTTTGAACCCAGGAGGTGGAGGTTGCAGTGAACTGAGATAGCGCTACTGCACTCCAGCCTGGGTGACAGAGACAGACTCTGTCTCAAAAAAAAAAAAAAAAAAGAAAGTCCATCTCATATGTGCTGATTAGGTCTCAAATCTGGATTTCTTATCCCAACCTCTTTCTTGACTATCTTTCTTTTTAAATAAATGTTATAGAAATACTAAAATGTATTGTGAATAACACCCACATTCCACCATCCAATTTAAGAAATAAAGCATTACTAATCCAGTTTTGCTTCCTGCAGACTCATCCTTCATCCCATTCTCTCTATAAACATCCTGCAGCTGGGCACAGTGGCTGCACCTGCAGTCCCTTCAGGAGGCTGAGAGTGGAGGATCTCTTGAGCCCAGGAGTTTGTGACTGTAGTGTCACAAACTTGTGTTTGTGTCTCCTGCCACAGCTTGCACCTGTGACATAGCCACCGTGTTCCAGCCTCCGCAACATGGCAAGGCTCCAACTCTAAATGAAATCCTGAATTTGACATTTGTCATTCCGTTGTTTGCTTTTACATTTTTATCACACATATATGTCTACATTAGTAAAAATATATAATATTTATTTTTTTAATTGGGGTGAAATTCATATAACATAAAATTAACCACTATAAACATGAACAATGCAATGGCATTTGGGACAATCACAATGTTGTGCAACCACCGCCTCTATCTAGTTCCGGATCATTTTCATCACCTCGAAAAGCCACTCTATGGCCATTAGTAGTCATTCCCCATTTCTCCCTCCATCTGTCCCCTGCAACCCCCAATCTACTCTCTGTCTCTGTAGAGTGACCTATTCTGGGTATTTCATATAAATGAAGTGATACGATATGTGTAGACTTTTGTGACTAGCCTCTCTGACTTAGCAGACATGATGTTTTCAAGGTTCATCAGTGTTATAGAATGTACAGGTATGAGTACTCTGTTCCTTTCTCTTTTTTTTTTTTTGAAATGGAGTCTCGCTCTGTTGCCCAGGCTAGAGTGCCGTGGCATAATCTTGGCTCACTGCAACCTTCACCTCCGGGATCAAGTGATTCTCCTGCCTCAGCTTCCTGAGCACCTGGGACTGCAGGTGACTACCACAGCCGGCTAATTTTTTTTTCCCCCAGATGGAGTTTTGCTCTTGTTGCCCAGGCTGGAGTACAATGGCACAATCTTGGCTCACTGCAATCTTTGCCTTCCGGGTTCAGGCGATTCTCCTGCCCCTGCCTTCCAAGTAACTCAGATTAGAGGTGTGTGCCACCACACCTGGCTAATTTTTGTATTATAGTAGAGACAGGGTTTCACCACATTGGCCAGGCTGGTCTAGAACCCCTGACCTTGTAATCCAACTCCCTCTGCCTCCCAAAGTGCTGGGATTAAGGTGTGAGCCACGGCACCCAACCTCTGTTCCTTTTTTTATGGCTGAATAATATCTCATTGTATAGATAGACCATATTTTGCCTATCCATTCATCCGTAGATGAACATCTGGGTTATTTGAATAGTGCTGCTGTCCTCATTCACATAGAGGTAATTGTGAGAACATGGCGTCGCTTTGGATTTCTCTAAACTTTGTATCACTCTGCAGCTTGCTTTGTTTGTTCAGTTTTAGGTTATTTCCATGTTGATATGCACATCTCCAGTTGATTTGTTTTCACTGCTGCGAAGCATCCCATTTTAAAAAATTGTGCTATTTTATTTTTGAGACAGGGTCTTGCTCTGTTGCCCTGGCTGGAGTGCAGGGGTACAATCACAGTTTACCATAGCCTTGAACTCCTGGGCCCAAGCAATGCTCCCACCTTGGCCGCCAGAGTAGCTGGGACTACAGCCATGTGCTATCACACCCAGCTAATTTCTGTATTTTTAGTCGACACAGGGTTTTATCATGTTGTTCAGGGTGGTCTCAAATTCCTGGGGCTCAAGCAATTCCTCCACCTCAGCCTCCCAAAGTGCTGGGATTACAGGTGTGAGTCACCGTGCCTGGCCCAAAGCATCTGATTGTATGAATCCAACAATTTATTTACCCATTGTTTGAGGACATTTGGGTTATTTCTTGCTTTCCCTCCTATAAGCAAGGCTGCTGAAGCATACGTACAAGAGTTTCTCTTGTACATAACTCTGTAACTCCGGCACATGTACAAGAATTTCTCTGGGGTACATATGTAAGAGTTTTATTGCTGGGTCATGGGCAATGCTCTTCTTCAACTGTACTTGCTATTGTCAAATACGAGCTCTCTTTTCAGGAGCCACCCAGTGGTTCTCAGCCCCAGCTATGCATTAGAATCATCTGGGAACTTTTTTTCCCCCCAAGACAGAGGCTTGCTCTGTCACCCAGGCTATAGTGCAGTGGCAAGATCTTGGCTCACTGCAGCCTCTGCCTCCCAGGTTCAAGCAATTCTCCTGCCTCAGTATCTGGATATAGGTATCTGGATATCTCTCCAGACTCATGGAATCATAGTCTCCAGGGATGGGACTGGGGAGCTGCAATTTTGAAAGCTCCCTGAATGGTTACACAGCCAAGGTGGAGAGCAGTTGGGGCTGTGTTTTGGTTCACTCTGTCTCAGCTTCCCAAGGTGAGCTCATAGAGGGCAGCCATCATCTTATACTTGCTAACATCACTCAGCAACTGGGCAGAGAGAAGGGACTCGATAAATAAACTCTGAATGAGTAAACAAAGCATTTCAAACAAACCCTTTATGCTGGACTCAGTGGCACAGGCATATAATCAATCGCGGTAACTATCTCCTACTGTTGTGAGGATGAAAGGAGATGATGCCTGTAGAGCACTTGGCACATATAAACTGCTGAATAAAGAGTAGCTCCTGCAGCCTGGTGTGGTGGCTCACATCTGTAACCACAACATTTTGGGAGGCTGAGGTGGAGAACCACTTGAGGCCAGGACTTCAAGACCAGCCTGGGCAACATAAATAGACCTGTCTCTACAAAAAAAAGAATACAAATTAGCTGGGTGTGGTGGTATATACCTGTAGTTCCAGCTACTCAGGAGGCTGAGGTGGGAGGATCAGCTTGAGCTTAGGAGTTGGAGGCTGCAGTGAGCTATGATCGCACCACTGCACTCCAGCCTGGGCGACAGAGAAAGGCCTTTTCTCTAGAATAAAAAGAGAGAGAGAGAGAGAAAGTAGCCGCCATTTTCCATGTTATTGATAAAGCTGGTGGGTGTTTCTGAAAATGGACCCGACACAGCCTCAGACTGGAAGGTGCTAATGTGTTATTGAACCTCCAGGCAAAGCTGGTGAACACACTGGCGTGGGACTTTATGACTTGAGAAGCTGTCCTATCTATGAGGGTCCGTGTTCAGCAATGTTAAAGAAGGGGATTGGGGACAGTAGGTTTCCTTTAGCAAGTGCTCACTGTGTACCAGATACTGGGCAAAGGAGCTTGCAGACATATATCATTTGATCCTCACAATCCATGAGGTAGGTATGACTATGCTTCCAATTGGGCAGAGAGGAAAAACGAGTCACACAGAAGCAAGTCATGCAGCAGAGCTAGGATTGGAAAGGAAGTGGCCGGCAGAGCCCGCCTCCCAACTCGCTGTGTTATGCCTCCCATTGATACTTTCCTGTGTCTACCATTTGGCTTTGCTCTGGTGAGTGACAAGCTGTTCCAGGGGAAAGAGCCTGTCATCAGTTCTGTGCACAACAAGGCGAAAAAGATAGCAGAGGTGAAGGAGGAGATCATGGAGAACGGAGTGAAGAAGTTGGTGCACAGTGTCTTTAACACAGCAGATTACACCTTCCCTTTGCAGGCAAGCACCTAGTAGTATTACTAGACCCCAACACTTACCCAAAGATAGCCATTGGGTCAGGGTTTCTGCACTATAGTCCCTTTTGTGGTCGCCAGAAATATGTTACAGGAAAGGGGTTCTGATCCAGACCCCAAGAGAGGGTTCTTGGATCTAGGGAAGGAAAGAATTCAGGGCAAATCCGCAGTGCAAAGTGTAAGCAAGTTTATTAAGAAAGTAAGGGAATAGGCCGGGCACGGTGGCTCACGCCTGTAATCCCAGCACTTTGGGAGGCCAAAGCGGGTGGATCATCTGAGGTTAGGAGTTCGAGACCAGCCTGGCCAACACGGCAAACCCCCATCTCTACTAAAAATACAAAAATTAGTTGGGTGTTAGGTATGGTGGCGCATGTTTGTAATCCCAACTACTCAGGAGGCTGAGGCAGGAGAATCGCTTGAATCCGGGAGGCAGAGGTTGCAGTGAACTGAGATCCCACCACTACACTCCAGCCTGGGGAACAGAGCAAGACTCTGTCTCAGAAAAAGGAAAAAAAGAAAAGAAAGTAAAGGAATAAAAGAATGGCTACTCCATAGACTTAGCACCCCCAAAGGCTGCTGGTTGCACATTTTTATGGTTATTTATTGATGATATGCTAAACAAGGGGTAGATTATTCATGCCTCCCCTTTTTAGACCATATAGGGGAACTTTCTGACATTGCCATGGCATTTATAAACTGTCATAGCACTGGTGGGAGTGTAGCAGTGAGGATAACCACAGGTCATTCTTGTCACCATTTTGGTTTTTGGTGGGTTTTGGCCCACTCCTTTACTGCAACCTGTTTTATCAGCAAGGTCTTTATGACCTGTATTTTGTGCTGACCTCCTATCTCATCCTGTGACTTAGAATGCTTTAACCATCTGGGAATGCAGCCCAGTACGTTTCTGCCTCATTTTACTCAGCTCCCATTTAAGATGAACTTGCTCTGGTTCACACACTTCTGACATTTGTATTGCACATCTATTGTGAGGTAGACGGTACTAATTCCACTACAAATCAAGCCTTCAGGAAGCGAGACAATGTGTGAGGTTGTAAAGCCTCCAGATTCAGAACTATGCTTGGGTCAAATTCCAGCTCTGCCACTTTTTGTGTGTAGCGTTGGTACAAACCCTTAGCTCAGTTTCCTCATATATACAGCAAACACTCACTGAATAGAATATGCTACTTACTCTTCCAGTCTCTGGATGGAACAGAGAGCAAGAACAAAATTGCTGTGCTCATGGACTTTACATGGTAGGGCACAGCAGGTCCTCAGAAAATTGTCAAATGTACATTAAATGTATAAGGTAAATGGTGGTGAGTCTAAAGTGAATGGGGGGAATGAAAGAGAACGAGGGTAGGGAGAATGTACATTAAGGGAGAGTTGCAATTTTAGAAAAGGATACCTGGGCAAAACCTCCCTGGGAAGGTGGTGTAAGGTCTTTTAGGTTGACTGACGGTGCCATGGACGCCATGTTAACCTCTGTGATCTGCACGGACACTCCAGATGAGTTCCTGGAAAATCTAAAGTGACTGGAAGACCATGAAAAGTGGAAGAAATAATCAACCCCTGCGGCGCCTACTTAACTTTGAGCCATTCTCCATGGTTCCTTATTCGGACCCTAATGGATAAGGCCATTGGACTTTGTAACGGATTTTGATCAACCTCGCAACTCCAAAACCTAAGACCCCCTCCAAGCTCGCAAAAAACCGCCCTAAACTGTAACTTTCCACTGCCCACCCCAAACCAATAAAAACCAACTCCTATCCCACCGCCCTTGGCAGACGCCCTTTTCAGTCTCAGCCCACCTGCACCCAGGTGAATATGTTGACTCACACAAAGCCTCTTTGAGGGGGGGTCTCTTCATTCAGTGCGCACCTTTTAACAGGTGGCATTTGTACAACAGAAACACAGTATCTATTTTCCAGGCCTGTAACGAAGGTTTACTAAGAAAATGCATGGATTCGTAAAAAAATCTATAGGCCCCAAATGGACCTACAAGACCTCTACCCCAATGGATGAAGGAACGCTAACCATAGCAGAACGCTAATCGTGGCGGAACGTTGGCACAAACGGAAAGTTGATCCGAACGGAAAGCTGGTTCGAGGGAAACATTGGTTGTGGAGGAACTTAATCCGGAACAAATCTTGGGCAGAAGCGGAACTTAGACAGGTCGCACAGTTACCATGGCAATGACGTGCGCCCGGAGGGCGGTAGCAGCTACGCAGTGAGACCTGGGAGGAGACAGAGGCAGGGCTTGCAACGGAAGTGGCCTCTCTCCCTCTGCAGGGCTAGGGAAGATGCTGCGCCCTGCGTTACTGTGGCTGTGCCTTGGCCTCTGCAGCCTCCTGGTGGAGCAAGTAGTGGCCCCGAGCCCCGTGGATCCGCAGGAGCGGAGCCGGCCATACGCGGTGCTGCGCGGGCAGAACCTGGGTGAGCGGCCCTCGGGCTGGCGGGCGGCGGGTAGTGCCTGAGTTTTGCCCCGGGTGCTGGAGCCGGGCATGTGCGGAGCGGACAGGGATTAGTGTAGGGGAATGGTTGGGAGGGGGGGTGCAGTTGAGGCCTCTCGGGGGGCCGCGAGACCCCGCTTCCAAAAGCCTGGGCAGAAGGCCTGAGCTTTTCCCGTTTTACAAAGGCATGGTGTCCAGTAGGCTCTCAGAATGTGCTGGTTGCTCATGAAAGAAGTGCAGTCGGGAGACCTGGGTCTCAGTCTGTGTCCCCTCCTTTCTGGCTGTGTGGGCTTAGACACATCATTTACCCCATCCCTCTTCTTTCCCAAAGGAGCCAGTATTTGTTGCAAAAACGATTAACAGTTGTTGAGCATTTCCTATATCCCATGTCTTGTGCTAAGCATTTTGTATATGCGAATTCATTTGAGCCTCACAGTAACTTAATGAGAAAGGTATGATTTTGCAGCCCTGTTTTTTTTTTTCTTTTAAGATAGGGTCTCTGTCGCCCAGGCTGGAGTGCTGTGGCACGGTCTTGGCTCACTGCAGCCTCGGCTTCCTGGGTTTAAGTGATCCTCCTACCTCAGCCTCCCAGGCGAGTAGCTGGGACTACAGGCAGGCGCCACTACGCCCGGCTAATTTTGTTGTTGTTGTTTACTTTTTATAGAGATGGGGGTCTCATTTTATTGCCCAGGCTGGTCTCAAACTCATGGGCTAAAGCAATCCTCCCGCCTCGGCCTCCCAAGGTGTTAGTATTACAAGTGTGAGCCACTGCACCTGACCTTGCAGCTCTATTTTTCAGATAAGGAAAATGAGGCTCAGAGAAGTGAAGTTATTTGCCCCAACTTACATAGCTAGGAAGTGATGAGGCCGATATTAGAACTTGTTTGGTGGGGCTTGAAACATAAGTTGCGGGAGGATATCTTCAACACACACACACTACATACATAAGTGTGTGTGCATGGCTTTGGAAGGAGTTCTGGAACTTACAGCTCAGCAAACTTCACAATAAATCTGCCTCTTGCCAAAGCCTTCCCTTCCTACTGTATATCCTTGGTACATCTGTATGTCTACAAAGTAGCTACTAGTATCATTTTGGATTATCACGGCTCTACATGAACTCAGTGTCTGCCATGTGTTTACGCCTTCCTCTCTATCTAGCAGTCTACACATCACACTCTACATATCTAGTTTCCACACATTATCCCACTCGATCTTTCAGAACAGGGTTTCTCAACCTGGATATTACGACATGTTGAATACATGATTTCAAAGGGCAAAAGGGACTATCCTAAACACTATAAGAACTTTGGCGGCATCTCCAGCCCTTCGATACCATTAGCACCCCCTCCCAATCAAGCTAGTCACAATCTCTCCAGACGTTGTTGCCAAATGTTCACTGGAGGCCAGATCCCCATTTGAGAACCACTGCTGTGGAACAGTACTAATGAAAGGGTAGTCTGCAGACCAGTGTGAGTCTGCAAACTGTGTTGTCTGCAAAGAGATGACTACAGAAATTGAGTGTTTTGAAACTTAACAGTTTGACATTGTTGCAATATCCAAGAACTTAAGAGACCAGTTCTAGGTGTCTCTGAACTGGAATGCTTTGCAGATGAAGGGAGCTGGTTATTAGTCATGCACAGTAGGGCTTTGTAGTGGTCTGAGACAGACTAGAAATTATAAAAACTATTTCTTTGCCGTAGATAGTTTGAGAAATGCTGTCATAGATAATCCTGTACAGTCGTGTTTTTTGTTTTTTGTTTTCTTTTTTCACTACAGAGTTTTGCTCTTATTCCCCAGGCTGGAGTGCAACATCATGATCTCAGTGCCCTGCAACCTCCGCCTCCTGGGTTCAAGCAATTCTTGTGCCTTAGCCTCACGAGTAGCTGGGATTACAGGCATGTGCCACCATGCCCAGCTGATTTTTGTGTTTTTAGTAGAGGCGGCATTTCACCATGTTGGTCAGGCTGGTCTTGAACTCACTGCAACCTCTGCCTCCCGGGTTCAAGCAATTCTCCTGCCTCAGCCTCCCAAGTAACTGGGACTACAGGTGCACACCATCATGCCCAGCTAATTTTTGTATTTTTAGTAGAGATGGGGCTTAACCATGTTGGCCAGAATGGTCTCAATCTCTTGACCTTGTGATCTGCCTGCCTCGGCCTCTTAAAGTGCTGGGATTACAGGCAAGAGCCACCGCTCCCGGCCTAAAACAGTCCTTTAAGGTTCTGCCTGGGCCTGCCATTCAGCCAACTGTCAGTGCGTGCAAAGTATAGCGAGAAGTGAAAGGATGACTAGTGGGAGAACTGATCAGTCCCCACGTGCATGGCCATTGGTTGCCTAACAACTCATGGTTGTAAGCTCCTTTTTATTTATTTATTTATTTTTTATGGACAACCAGAGTGATCAGCTCCTTTTCAAATTTTATTTTTATTTTATTTTATTTTTTGATATGGAGTCTCACTCTGTTGCCCAGGCTGGAGTGCAATGATGTAATCTCAGCTCACTGCAACCTCCTGCTTCCAGGTTCAAGTGATTCTCTTGCCTTAGCCTCCCAAGTAGTTGGGATTATAGGTGCCTGCCACTGTGCCCGGCTTTTTTTTTTTTTTTTTTTGAGACAGAGTCTTGCTTTGTCACCAGGCACCAGGCTAGAGTGCAGTGGCACAATCTCAGCTTGCTGCAACCTCCGCTTCCCAGGTTCAAGCAATTCTCCTGCCTCAGCCTCCTGAGTAGCTGGGACTACAGGCACATGCTACCACGCCCAGCTAATTTTTGTGTTTTTTAGTAGAGACAGGGTTTCACCATGTTGGCCAGGATGGTCTCGATCTCTTGACCTTGTGATTTGCCCGCCTCAGCCTCCCAAAGTGCTGGGATTACAGGTGTGAGCCACTGTGCCTGGCAATTTTTGTATTTTTAATAGATATGGGGTTTCGCCATGTTGGCCAGACTGGTCTCTAACTCCCATCCTCCGGTGATCCACCCATCCCGGCCTGTGCTGGGATTACAAGTGTGAGCCACTGTGCCCAGCCATTTTTATTTCTTAAAGGTAGATTTCCATCCCCCAATTCAGCCTTCTGCATTCCTGCTTTGGGAGGTTTTTTGTTTGTTTTTTTCGGTGAAGAGGATTCTTCAAAGGGAGTTTAAAAATTTTTTTAGAGCGCTTCCAAAATGCAAAATACAAAAAAATGGTTTATTTAAATGAAATTTTATAAATTGAACTTTAAGTTCAATTGTAGTCCAAACCTTAGAAATTCAGAATTCAAGACTTTTGGAAATTAGGGCAGATATTTATTTAACAAGGGCTATTTTGAGACACGACATTTAGTTCATGTAGGTTGTAGATTTTGTTCGACAAAGATCTTAAAATTACTTCTGGCCTTTGGAGTTATGACATGCTGTCTTTGTCACCTTCTTCCTTCCTCCCCCTCACTCACCAAAAAAAGATGACTTTTCTATATAGTCAGTTTTAAAGTAATAACTGGTTTAAGCATGGAGGGTAGGGAAAGGGGGATCACAGATACAACACAGTTACTGATTTAAGTAAAACTATGGTCAAATCTTGGTTTTTCAGAAGAACAGTAATGAAGCTGAAGAACAACCCTGGTCTGGAACCTGGTGTCCCCACAAACACACATTAGTGTACATTTGTTTGTTTTGAATGCTTCCCAAGATTGCTGAGATAGTCAAAGAAACAAGACTGCATAACACTGCTGCTATTGAATAAACCTCTGACAGCTTGCTGGTTACGTTAGTACTTTATTTATTTTTTCTTTTTGTTATATAGTAGTTTAAAGCCCAGTTCCTTATCCTGTACCACCAGGGCTCAACTTGTGTAATCAATTGTAGTTCCTATTTCTCACCTGAGTACCTTGAAAATTTCAGGTGTGAAATTTAGTCTTAAAAACATAACAGATTTGTGAGTTAGTTGCTTCTCTGGTCAAAAGGCCCTTGTCAAGACTCATCTTGGGACTGAAATACTTGAATGAATCCCCAGATCTTTATTAATGGCTTTAAAGACGTAGTTGGGTTTCCTGCTCTCTTGTCCCTCTGTAATCAGACAATTTTCCACACAAAATGCAGAGGGATCTTTTTTTTTTTTTTTTTTTACTAAACCAGAGGATGTTATTCTTTTGCCTACAACCCCCCGGAATGGCTTCTCTTTAAACTTAAAATTTCTGTTTCCTTCATGGTCTCCAAGGCCCTGCACAGACTGGCCCCAGCCTTCCTCTCCAGCTTGATTTCCTGCCTCTCTTCCCGCACTCCTTGCCTGGTTGCCTCCTTTCTGTTCACTGAGTGTATTGGGCTGATTCAGGCCTCAAGGCCCTTCCTCAGCTGATCCTTGGGCCTGCAGTGAGCTCCCTGCAGAGCTTCACTTATAAAGGCTCAGCTTGTTTTTTTGTTTTTAAGATGTGTCACTTTGTGGCCCAGAGGTGCAATCTCGGCTCACTGCTACCTCCACCTCCTGGGTTCAAGCAATTCACATGCCTCAGCCTCCTGCATAGCTGGGGCTACAGGCGCATGCCACTGTGCCTGAAGAATTTTTGTGTAGAACTGGCGTTTCACCACGTTGGCCAGGCTGTTCTTGAACTTCTGACTTCAAGTGATCCACCCACCTAGGCCTCCCAAAGTACTGGGATTACAGGCATGAGCCATTGCACCCGGCCTGTCTCAGCTTGAGAGTCTCCTCGGATGCTTCCTGACCATCCCACCTCCTGCTGCCCACCATCTCCATCCCCAGCAT